TTGTAAAGTCCTGGAATAGGTTGGTTCAGAAGGAGCCTTAGAGCCCATCCAGTTTCATCCCCTGCTATAAGCAGGGACACTTTCCACTATCCCAGGTTGCTCCAAGTCCTGTCCAACCTGGCATTGGACATTTCCAGGGATGGGGAGTCCACAAACTGGACAGATAAATATTCCTGGTAGACATGTTTCCGCAGTTTTGAAACATTATAATTTAAACAATATTGTAAAAATATTATAATTTAAACAATAATTTAAATAATGGATTCTCAGAGGTGATTATTTTTTACAGTACTATTTAGTCAGGTGTGTATAAATCATGCCATAGTCCGGTTTCTAAAATTCTACAGCACACGAGCTGCACTCCAAATGCTTCACCCACCTTTGTTTGTCCAGGTAGATAGTGTCTCTGCCCTGTATGAGGAATGCAGCTGGAAAGAGTAGTGTTACAGTAACTCAGAAAACTTTTATATTACTGTTAACGAAAATTAATTCTATGTTCTGTGTTTGTCTCTTTATGAGTTTTTCACTTTCAGGTTTTTTTTATTGACACTGTAACCTTTGGAGGAGAAGACTTTGCTCATCTTCATGATTTACTGGTTCCTTATTGCCTTGGAGCAGACATTCACCTTATTAATTGTGATGACTAAATGCTTATTTTTCAAAAAAACACTGGAATTCCCAACAGCTCCAGGGCTGACCAAGTGCACAGCTTTTGAAGTCTTTGGCACTAGAATATAAACTTTTCACTACCATAAATTCAGATCCAGCCCTAGTCTCGCTGCCTCCAGAAGGAAGTGCAGGACTTGTCTGCACATTGTTGTTTTTATAGTAGCGAAATGTGTGAATAATGGCTTGGCAACACATCCTTGGGAGAAGCAACATAAATTATCTCTGAGAGAAACAAGATAATGGTGCAACAATAGAGGCTGGAGAATATAGAGAACTTTATGCAATTTGTTGGTGAGAAGATTCAGAAGTGATGGATGCCCTGTAATTACTGAGCTGAATGCAAAATATATTTTGCAGGTCTACCCAATACTTAACTGATATAATTCCAAAATTTTGCTTAAAAGTCTCACTGATTTAATAGTTTGTGGACCCGCAGCTCTCACCCTTGAAAGAACATTTATTGTCAAAAATGCTCCTATTTTAACACTCACTTTGATGCTTGTTTCATTGCTTCCCACTTATTATATTTGAGAGAATTTCTATAATGGAAGCATTGGAAGTTCACAGATGGTTTCATCAAAATGTTTAAAACATTCACATGCTTTTATCCTGCAAGGGTTATTACCAGGCACTTTTTATCGGAAAATGCTTGGTGCTCTACCTACAAAATTTTGTATACTCAGGGTTTTTTTCCATATCAGATGCTACTTTGGAAACTACTTTGATCTCAGAATCCCAAGGTTGTTTGGGTTGGAAGTGACCTTAACAACCATTTATTTCCAACCCCCCTGCATGGGCAGGGACAGCTTCCACCAAACATAAAGGAGGATGTCTGGATCATAGGAGAGTTGAGAGTTTGGTCCTTTGTTCAGCTATGGTGTTCATCAGGACCCCCAGGTCCTTCTCTACAGCAAAGCTGTCTTCCAGCCATGCTATGCCATGCCCACCATGGACTACAGCATGGAATTTTTTTCTCCCCATTTAGCACTTCCCACTGTTGAATTTCATGAGGTTCCTGTTGGAAATCCTGTAAAAATGAGGGGCTCATCTACTTCTTCCCACTTAAGAGGTCTGTAGCACAGTCACCACAGTCAAGGAATCATATATTCACAGGATCTCTTGGGTTGGAAAGGACCTTTAAATCTCATCCTGTTCCACCCCCTGTCATGGGCAGAGACACCTTCCACTAGACCAGGCTGCTCCAAGCCCCATCCAGCCCGGCCTGGAACACCTAATATTGCCCATGTTGGTCTGTCCTCTCCTGGCTCTGAGCTTCTCATTTCCCAGTTCCTAGTTTAAAGATCTCCTTTCCAGTTGGGCCAACCTAGCAAAGATATTTTTGTCCCACTTCTCAGGTGTTTCTTGTCTCTCATGCACTTGTCAGTCTTCAACGATTCCTGTGTGACCATAGAAACCAAAATGCTACTTTCACCATCCATGATTTGACCTCCAGAGTTGTCCAGTCATCTTCAACATGACCCTCTCAGGATCAGGAGACCATCTGCTCCCGACCATCACTGGTTATCCAAATCAAGAAAATTTCAGTGCAGTTGCAAATAAAACCTTCAGTTTAATATTTCTGAGACCTTCTTACCCACTTATTTTTTGGTTTTCCCCAGCTACACTGTGATTCAGACTTCTGTGTAGCAGACGGTGGAGGTTATGAAGTTCCATTATGTTAAAGGTCACAGAATTCTTCTGGGCATGGTTCGACTGGCATCACCCAGCTGAGGGATAGAACTGTGCCAGCCAAACCTTGAAAGTACTAAAATTTTAACTAAGAAATATTCTCATATTTCACTGGATGAGCAGATGGATATGAATCAGAAGAAAATAAATGTGTGTGGAAAGATTAAATATATTTCCTTAAGGAATGTCAGGGCTATGTTAACAAACTTCAAGAATGCAATGGAAGGACCTGACAAGATAAATGAATTTGAGGTTTTTTTGAAAACAAAGGGTGAATATTTATGGATATGTGTGCCTTCAGGAAAAAAGGAAAAAAAAAAAAGGGGTAGATGTATTAAACATATGATAAATTTCAACCACTGTAACTTTAATTTTCACTCCATGATTTTCTAAAGCTATTAGAAGCATTTTTTCCCACTGGAGTTCAGCACAGTAACACCATGGCAGACTTAACACAGATGTGAGTGCCACATTCCCACCAACTTCCAGCTGTGTTTCTGCTCATATGAAGTTTGCCCACATCTGCTATCAATTTTAATAGCTGATCTAATGCTTAGTTCTAGACTTAGGGTTTGCACTGCAGTAACATGTCTATCAAATGAAATCAGAAATAAATTGTTCCATGCAATTATTTTGTATTGAAGATGACAATACTTAATCTGAAGAAGAAAGGAGATACCATACTGGAAAATTGCAATTTCCATGGACAGTTATAATTTTCTGGGTTTGAGTTTAATGACGTTAATAACATAATATAAAATAGGTAATAACCTCCCAGTCTTGGAGGTCCTGTTTTCTTATTATCATTACCAAAGTAGGAATTAGATATTCCTCAGTTCTTGACAGTCCTGGCCTGTCAAGCTACATGTCCATGGAATAACTATCACATCATGCAATTCAAAAATGAGTAAAATTAAGCTTAAGCATGATCTGTGATGCTGCAAAGTGTTTGGGAAATCACCCTCACATGGAAATGGCCTTGAGAGGTGAAAATTAATCCTCCTGTCTAATACCACTGTGACCACAGGGTTCAGGAACTGAGAGAGATGAAGTTCCTGATGTTTGCAATGGTCAACACCAACATATGTGACATTTCTTCCACTTATTATGCTGACCTTGACAAGTTTTCAATCAGCAGAACATTTCTGTAAGGCCAATGAGCCAGGCATTGGGACTGGATTGCTTCCAGGGGTGCCTTCCCATGTCAGCAGTGCTGGGATTTTGTGGGAATGTGTAAGATATACCTGCACTTGGATTTGAGCAGTGGTATTAACATAGGATATTTTGTATTTTTTCCTTCCCCTACTAATTTCTACCATTTTTTCTGACTTCTCACCCTGTTGAGATAACCTTTCATGGGCTGCCTATCCCAAGAGTGATGTCATGCTCTCAAGTGACCAGTGCAGAGCCAGTCACAGTTTTATCTTTGTTTTTCCATGTATTATCCTCTAAATGTAGCTATAATGAATTTATAAAGTACTATCCTTGGAAATGCTCAAGTGTGCTCTATTTTCAGAAGTGTTTTAGAAGCATTATTTTTAAGAAGCATTAGTCTTAAGACTGAGACTGTAACAATAAGATCTTTTTTCAGACAAATGTATGAAAATTAAGGTCCTTCTAACATCTGTCTGTTTGAATACACAGTAGATACAGCTGCTCTTCTCCAAGCAAGGAAAGCACTTGTAGTGCAAGCACTTCATGGACTGAATGGAGAGGGAATAAGTGTGATTAATAACCAACCACTGTTAATTAGCAGCCTTTCTCCTACTCTATGCCAGAGGGCCTGGTAGTATAAATGACTGATTCCCTACAGTGCCAGATAAACACAAGTTCATTATCCTTAATTTCAGTTTCTTTTTGCAATTTCCCCTTTTGACAAGAAATAGGTATATGAAATCCAAGCTTTTCCAGATTCATAGGTGTTTCCTCACTTGAGAGTGTGGGCCAGCACAAGGACAGGATTCTTGATTTAGTAAGATTCATTATTATTTTAATTATTTAATATTAATTTATTTAATATGAGGATTCCCGATCATTTTCACACCCAGGGAAGTCTACTTAATGATGTCACAAAAAAACAAAAACTCTTACAGCAAGCCAGAGATGATTATGTCACTAATGGATTGGTATGAGCTGGTATAACCTTCATGGAAGGCTTGGAAACAGCAGTTCCAGAGTGCCAGGATGGGTCAGGCTGGAAGGGCCCAGAGTGGCTCATGTGGTGCCACCTCCCCGCTCCAGCAGGGCCATCCCAGAGCCCAGGGCCCAGGAGTGTGTCCAGAGGGCTCGGGAATATCCCCAGGGAGGAGACTCCCCAGGCTCTCTGGACAATCTGCTCAGGGCTGGGCAGTGCCCAGGGCAGAAGCTCTGCCTCCTGGGCAGGGGAATTGCTGGGCTCAGGCCCTGCCCGTGGCTCTGGTGCCATTGCTGGGCCCCGGAGCAGAGCCCGGGCCCTGCTCTGCCCCTCCCTGCAGCCAGGGCCAGCCAGGCCTGAGGGCCCCTCTCAGCTGGGGCTCCTCTCCAGGCTGAGCAGCCCCAGCTCCCGCAGCCTTTCCTGGCCACTGAGATGCTCCAGGCCCTTCCTCAGCTGCGCAGCCTCCGCTGGCCCCGCTCCAGGAGCTCCCTGGCCCTGCTGTGCTGAGGATCCCATTGGACCTGTGTCCCCCAGGACACTCTGCTGGTCAGGGGCAACTCAGTGTCCACCAGGACCCCCAGGTCATTCTCCACAGTTGCTCCAGCAGCAAATCTCTTCTCCGTTGATTTTAGAGCAGACCACTGAGTGCTTGATCCATCTGTTTTGTGAGTTCATGTTGTTTGGATTTTAGGTTGGGTTTTTTGGAGGGGAGGGGGAGCGAGGCACATGGAATTATGTCTGGATCTTTTGGAAATAGCATTTCAAACTCATGTAATTTTTCTGTATATTGTTCTAGCACTTTGCCATAAATATTTAGCAAGAACTCAAACAAATCTGCATCAGGTTATAATACTGCAGTTTCCAGGTGCAGACAGAACTTACCATCAGCTTTCAGTGTGCTGAAAACTGCTCTGATCCTTGGCTGCAATGATAAGCTGCCGATGCATTCTGCGCTTACAAGTCCCTGACTCCAGCCTGCATAATCAGATATTTACATTAAACTTTATCTAAGATTTATACATAAAAGGCAAAAAAAATTAAATATATAATAAACTTCTATTAGTTTGGGCATATTTTCCAAATATTATGTCACATCTGAATAACTTTCAGAGCATTATTTTTCATATGTAGTCCCAGGTAGTGGTGACATAACTTAGGCAATTAGGGCAAAGACAATATGAACTTCTTGAGAAGACTTAATGTGAGCCTCTACAGAGGTGGGAACAACTTTTTGAAGATTGTTATGTTCATTGAAATGTATATTTTGCATGAACAAAGCTATCAAAAAGCACAGATAAAATGGAGTCATTAATTTCATATGGGAAAAGAGGAGCTTTGTGTGAAATGTTTCAGCATTTCTAAATGAAACATCCCCTTTCATTTTAAAGTAGCGTTTTCATTTTTAATTGATTTTTTAAAAGTTAATTAGGTCTAAAATGAAATAAAGCATTTAATTACATGTCAAATTGAAAATATTTAGTTGATTAAAAATTTTCTTGGTCCAGAACTCTTCCAAGGATCTAACTCCTGAAACTAATTTTCTCCTTGACATCTAATGTTGATCTGAATGTTCTTGTTCTACTTTTGAAAAACTCTGAAGTCATTTTGGAGAATAAACTTCCATGGTGAGGAGTGCAAGGTCTGGACACACCTTTAGGATCTTAATGCACACAGGTTTTAATTTACTTTCCCAGTGGAGGGCACAACAGAACTTCTAAACACCTTAGGTGTAACCATCCATGTGCACTCAATATTTGGGGTGTTAAACATAAATATCCAGGTACACCTCCTCTCACAGGGGGGAATTTTTCTTCTCCCTTTTGCTGCAGTCTTCCCTTCACCATTCCAAGTTATTCACAGGTCTGTGGATACATATTCTCTCTGAGCTTTCACATCATGGGATGCCCCATACGCTTCCCTTGGACCTTCAGGACTGGTTTAAACAATTATTTTACGCATATGTCTGTCTAACTCTTGGCAGACTCTGGTGGTCTCTCCCCATTTTATTCCAAACAACCAGGAAATTATATATTTTACAGTCACACTGGGTTTTTCCCCCTGCAGTCTCTCTGACACAGGTTGTATGTCCCATCTTTCTCCAAAGTCACTATTAACCCCCATTGTGGGCTTATTGGACTGTTTCTCCCAAGGGCATGTTTTTAACATGGCTGGAAAGTGCCCATTGGGAAAGGCCCTGGGATGCTGGTGACAGAGGCTGGACAGGAGCCCAGGTGTGCCCAGGTGGGCAAGAGGCCAATGGCCCCTGGGCTGTCCCAGCCCTGATGTGGCCACAGGCCCAGGGCAGTGACTGTCCCCTGTGCTGGCACAGCTGAGGGACCTCAAGTTCTCTGCCCAGCTCCAGGCCTTCATGACCAGACAGACCTTGAGGGGCTGGAGTGGGTCCAGGGAAGGGAACAGAGCTGGGGAAGGGTCTGGAGCAGCAGGAGCAGCTGAGGGGAGAAGAGGAGGCTCAGGGGGGACCTTCTGGCTCTGCACAACTCCCTGACAGGAGGGGACAGCCAGGGGAGGTTGGGCTCTGCTCCCAGGGAACAGGGACAGGAGGAGAGGGAACGGCCTCAGGCTGTGCCAGGGGAGGCTCAGGTTGCCTTGGAGGGCTTTTCCAACCTCAGTGACTGTGAGATTGTCTGTAAAATATGTGATACACTATATGACCTCAGGTCATCTAGGGGCTGTATCAAGGATGAACCCCAAAACAAATATCAAATCTTCATTTTAGTTGAGATCATTTACCCTAAAAATTTATTGGAAATGAACATGTAATTTCATTGCTTCATTTTATAAAATGGGTCTCCATAGTAAAATACCAGAAGAAAAATCTTTGAAAAAAATCATCGCAACAAGACTTTAAAAAATACTTAGTGAAATCAATTGGATAGTTATGGTGCTGTTGCCAATGTTTAATATTTGGGGGTTTATTTTCCTTATATATTTCACAAGTTCTTCTGGGTAATAATTGCCAGCGCTGCTGGACACATAACTGCATTTAAAAGGCTCTAAGGGAAATACTGTTTAGGAAATATCTAGTTATTTAAATGTGATTATTAGGCATGAAACAGATCAGCATTACATCGGTGATGACACATTTTGCAGCTCTTTTTAAATACTCATGGAAAAATTTCATCTTGCCATGGGCTCTGAGCAGTTAAAACTGTTTCTAAGTAATGAATATATAAACATATGTCTGTATGTATCTGTATTTATATCTTCACTTTTCAGGGTGCAGATAGGGCTGTTTGGATTTGCTGTTAGAAATCTTGGGACTATTAGGGATGCAAATGTCAGACTCCTTGAAGGCAGAAGCTGTTTGGTTCTAAGTTAAAGTTTATTTCCATACTTCCAAGTTGGGAGTATAAATGTTGCAGTTATTTTTTAGTCACTTTTATATGTTCATGATGCTAAATTCCTGCAGATTTGGCATTTTTCCCTGGACTTTGCTGCATAATGTATCTTTCCAATCTAACATTTGTCAGGAAGAGAAAATACTTTCATGCTAAGTTGGGTAATGTGCAAGTCTCAAAATGAAACCTCTTCATAAGCTGAACCCTGCACTCCATATGGACGTGTAAACTGACAAATGTGCTTTATGCAAAATTATGGGATGAATGGGAAAAACATGTAGAAAAATAATGGGACTAAGGCACAGAGTGATTGGAGATCAGCCACAGTAGACAGTCATCTTTGGATAGCTCCCCCCAAGCCATAGCTTAGAGGAATATCATGGAAATAATCCCTTATAACAGACCTCTTAACTTTACTTCCATCTAACAAGTGGAAAACCTCAAAGCAGAGTTCTCATGGTTCAGTCAACACCTCTTTGCTCAACTCAATGGCCCTGCATCTTTTTTTATTACCCAACAATGTAGCTTTTTATTTGTAGAGAATACATATTATATGTATATTTTTTTTCCTGAAAAGAACCTCACCAGCACACACAATGCACATGCTGGTAACCTGGACAGAAAGGTTTAGAAATAATTGCAAATATTAACCCCCTTACTAACTCCAGGAAGGAGTTCCAGCTATAAGGGCACGGCAGCAAGACAAAGCTGGCATTTTTTGCAGTTGCAGGTTGGGAGCTGTTTCTTCTGGGCTTTCTTCTTGCCAGTGTTTACTACAGAGTAAAATATTCATGAGTAGCAGGTGTAATGCATTAAATATGATGAGTCTGCAGTGGGAGAATGCTCCTGGTGAAGGAATAGGAAGTTGTCAGCACAGAGATGTGCTTGTCTAAGGAGATCTGGATGCAAGGATATGTGGATTGCAGGGCCCTCTGTTTTGGGAGAGTTTCTGGTTAATGACATGGAATAAGAGAATCTCCTGAGTCAGAAGGCACCCGCTAGGATCATCCAGTCCAGCCCCTGGCCCTGCACAGACACGCCAACAATCCCACCCTATGCATCCCTGAGAGGGTTGTCTAAATGCTCTTGGAGCTCTGGCAACATGGGGTTTGTTGGGGACATGTCTATTCCCTGGGGAGCCTGTTCAGTGCCTGATCGCGCTCTGGGGGAAGAACCTTCTCCCAATATCCAGGAAAACCTCCCCCAGTACATTAAAAACTACTACAAGTTTCAAATATTTCTTTAAAGTTCACACTCTGTTCATCTCTGTGCATGATTCATCAGCAAACTCCCAACTGCACCAGCTGGCTGGGCTAGTGGAGGAGTAAACCAGAATATGGAAATATTCAAATTTGGAGTTGAAGACTGGATGAGAAGGAGCCCAGTTTATAGATATTTAATATTGGACAGGATCAAAGTCAACTCCAGGGGCTGAGGAACCTGTGGGTGTGAGCAGGGGTATGAATTCAAGCAGTGAGGGAGCACCAGGAGCAAAGCACAGTCCTGTCAGCCCCAGCCAGCAGTGCTTCTGTGTGCTGGGAAGGGCAGCTGGACTTCCATGATCCTTGTGGGCCCCTTCCAGCTCAGGGTATTCTGTAAAGAGAAGGTGCTTGCCCACGGCATGGAAAACTATCCTCTGGGCCCAGTGCTGCTCATGGTGACACTCCCCGCACCCAAGCATTGGTCATGATGCTGAGTAATCTGGGAAGCATCATCCAGCACATCCCCTTTTTCCAAGGGTTCCATTCCCTATAGTTTATAGAAGTTTTAGAAATGTAACCACAGAAAACAAGCTGCTCAGTAACCAAATCTTGGCAGTGCAAGCCAATGGATGTTTTGCAGCCAACTCCAAGTATTATATTTAACGTTTAAACTCTTTTTCCTTTAACTGTTCCTCCCCTCATCCTTCCAGACTCCTAGTAATTGAAGCTTGGAGAAATCTGAAAAATAGCCCCAAGCTCCGTTTAACACTTTTGTACTTTTTCCCTTATATCACAATAACATAGGGTTCATTAAGCACCCCATGAATATCATTATTGAGTTGCATCAGACACCTTGCCCTTGCCAAGGGCTATTCTTTTTATCAATGTACCAGCCCTTTTAGTTTGGGTGCTTTTTCAAAATATGCTTTTATTTTTATTAAGCTTGATGATAATGGCATATGTCTCAAGAATGTATTTGGACTGCTTCAATGTTTACCTCTGTCAATTCCCATTTGAATACATAGACAGTTCCAGTTTTCTAAGCCACTGGCAACACCAGCTGGGTGCTGTGGAGAACTTGCTGAGAAAAATTATTAAAAAAGA